AAATTTTCATGAGCAAAACACAGGTGCACAAATATTTAAGAATATGGTTTGCAACAGGAATGGAAGCCATAAAGAACTATGGAGAAAGCTCTCCAAGGATGTGTGAGCGTTCATGGAGAGTTTTGGGGAACCCAAAGTAGAGAGCAATACCACACTGCTGGAAAGGATGATTCTACACACACAGCAGACAGGCTGGACAGAGAATGCTGCCCAGCCAGGAAGCAGCCCTCTGGTTGCCATGTGGAACTGTGCATCCAGTGTTGCCAAAGTTTCTGATTTTTCTAAGGCAGACTAGGAATCCTTATTTCTATATTAAGTTCCTTATTTTTATATACTGGCAGCAAATTCAAAACAATTTTTCCACAACACCACTGTGGTAGAATTTGATCCCTGAATTAAAACGTTCCTCTCCTAAAATGTACTTCTTAAGATCTTCAACTTGGTGCCTGCAAGATGGTCTAGTAAAGCATTTATTGCAGAGTCTGCAGATCTAAATTCAATCCCTGGAACCCAAATGGTGGAGGGAGAAAGGCAATTCCCACCAGTCATCCTCTGACCTACACAATGTGCACATCCACCCTGATATACAAAGAAACACTAAACAAACAAATAAAATACTCTATTTGGGGAATGTGTCTAAACCAGATGTGAAAGGTTGCACATCATCCTGGAAATGTATTGCTGCTCTATAAAAATGTTAAGGATAGGACTGGAGAAATGGCTCAGCGGTTAAGAGCACTGGCTGTTCTTGGAGAAGACCCAAGTTCCAATCCCAACACCACATAGCAGCTAACAACTGTCTGTAACTCCAGTTCCAGAGGAATCCCATGCTCTCTTCTCTGCACGACACAGGTGCACTTACACACATGCAGGTATAACACTCATACACATAAAAAAATAAATTTTTTTAAATTTGAAAAAAATGTTAAGGATACTGATTCTTCCGTTATAGACCCTTAGAAGACCTATGTAAGGCAACCCTTTTAAGAATTCCTTACTTCCAAATACATTTTCTCTCTTTGAGGAAATGATAAAATAGGTCACATTTGTAGGCTTTTTATGTAAGAAACAATGTCTAGCATTCATTAACTTAGTCTTCAGAGAACTCATAAAGCAGGCTTTTCTGTTTCCATTTCACAGATGAGGGAATTATGACAAAAAAAGGTCAAAGATCTTAGAAAAAGAGAGAGAGGAGAGATGGGGGAGAGAAAGGTCAAAGATCTTGTTCCAAATCACCCAGACAGTAAAGTAGGAAAGCTAGAATTCACATTGAGGCAATCTGATCCCTGCAGGCTTGCTCTTGGATTCTGGCAGTGACAGCCGCGTTCTTTTCTTACGCTGGCTGCACCGGCCTCATATTCTGTTTGAGTTCTTCCTTCTTCCAACTTTGACTCTGTACTATTGTTTTCCTCTTTTAAATAGACGCTGGAAGTTTATGCTATCTCAATTGCTTTGTGATTTGATAGGGCTAAAATAAATAAACTTAATGGAAATAGCTATTTATAGATTTGAACTAAGCCAAAAAAATAGGTTTGTTATAAAAAGCTGAAGTCTAATCCCCTCACTAATAATTACTAACTGTATGAATTTAAGCAAGTCACTTAAAGCTCTGAATTTCAGTTTCTTCATCTATGAAAGAATTACCTACCTCCAGGTTTTACTACAAATTAAGTTTTAAATGTGGCTACTAGAAATTTTTTAATTTTTTACGTGGCTCATTCTTTTTTCGTATTTTATTTCTTGGTGTTTTTGAGACAGGTTTTTATTATATAGCCCAAGCTAGCTTAAAACTCAAAGCAATCCTTCTGCCTCAGCCTCCCAAGTGCTGGGATTACAGGCATGCACCACCATGCCAGGCTCTCCATATTTGGTTTCTATTGACAGCATCATGCTAGATACTGCAGCAAAATTAAAAAGAAGCAGGTAAAATTGGTTTTAATAATATTTTATTTAGCTAACATATAATCACCATAAAAAGTATTAGAGATTTTACACTTTTGTGTGTGAGGCTTCTAAATACAGCATGTACTTTACACATATGGCACATTTCAATCTGTACACAATTTCAGCAAAATGATTTTTTAACTGTTTTTCAGTTTCATAAAAATTACAATTGATACTCACATATCCAAATTATTTAAAACATATTTAAAAGTTTTCCAATAACTCAAGTACTCAAAAACTTTTATTTTCCTTTTAATAGTCACCTTAGTTGAACTAGCCATTTCCAGAGCTCAATAGCTACACATAGCGCCTCACTGCCATAAAGAGCAGCCCATCTACCAAATAAAATGCAATTAAAGGGCAGCTGTTACAATAGTTAAACAAAAATGGCCGCTATTCATACATGGAGGTGAAAGAATCAAGACAGGAACCTTTTGTGGGCATATTACAAAGGGAACTCTGAGAGGTGCAGTACAAATTACTAATATGAACAAAGTTAGGAACGTAAAATTATGATTCCTAGCCCCTCACCAAAAAATCTTTGTTTCTGTACCAAAATTTTAGTATAGCTCCCTTGAGTATTTACTTTCTAACTGAAAATTAAATGTTATATCAACAATTAAGTTCTAAAATAACTCAAAAATGCCACCTATTTCTTGAAAGTAAAAAAAAAATTTTTTGGTCTTTTTGAGACAAGGTCTCCCTAATGCCCCAGCTGGCCAGGAACCTGGTATATAGACCAGGCCAGCCTCTATCTCACAGAGATACACCTAACTCTGCCTCCAGAGTGCTGGGATTAAAGGCATGCACTACCACGCCTTTATTTTTGAATTTGGTGCTATAGCTCAAACATAGCCAGGCAAGTACTCCACCATGAGCAACACCCTCAGCCCATGAAATTTCACTTAATCATGTAATAGAAATCAATGTTTTACGAAATGAAACATCTTCCAAAGCCTTAAATCTACTCTGATTTCAAATTCAAGGTTTTCCTTGAGGAACTCCCTTGGGAATAGATAAATGTGCTATTTGTAAGAAGTTAATCCTCTGAATGGAGGGATTAAGAGTCTTACCCCACTAGACTACCTTGTTTTTATTGCCCAATAACTAACATATCAGATTTCTATAAATTGAGCCTACCATTTCTAAAGAAAAACCAACCAACAGGAATGTATGGACACCTATATGCTTTCTGTTACATCATGCATTATATAGTACCCACTGGATCAAATTTAATGCAGCAAAAGCCAGCTTAAAACATTAGCACTTTTAAAGCCAGGCATGGTGGCGCACGCCTTTAATCCCAGCACTTGGGAGGCAGAGGGAGGCGGATCTCTGTGAGTTCAAGGCCAGCCTGGTCTACATAGTGAGTTCAAGGCCAGCCTGGTCTACATAGTGAGTTCCAGGACAGCTGGGGCTACAGGGAGACCCTGTCTCAAAAAGACCAAAAAACAACAACAACAACAACAAAATCATTAGCACTTTTAGGCTTTAACCTCTAAAAGAATGAAACATAAAATCCGTATCAAAGGGATACTGATTACATTTAAAAAAAACTGTTAATTTGCAGATGTGAAAACAATGCTATTTATGAGACTACTCCTGTCAAAATCAAGTATTTGAATGAATACATTCATAGGAGACAGCTGTTGGGTTCGCCTACTCCCTTTCTTCTCATACTAATGCCTCAATTTTCCTTGGAGGCACTAAGACTTCTCATGAGCAATCATGTATTTCTAAAGAGGCTGACCCCAGTCTCAACCCTCAAAATGAGCATAACAGTCACCGAGGCCAGAATGATAAATTCAATCCCAGCACTTCTGTTTTAATTTGATGGCAGATTTCCTTTCATTGATGTTACTGAGCTAAACAGAAGACAAGCTGATGGCCACCTTTCCTGACAAATATATCATGTTTTTTTTGTCTTTGAGACAGGACAAATGAGCACTATTTTCCTTTCGAGTGTTGTACCGTCTTTACAGTCTGTTCCTTAAAAAGACTAGTGGGCGGTGGGTATGAAGGCCTGTGCCTTTAGTCCCAGCATCTAAGAGGCAGAGGCAGGTGGATCTCTGCAAATTTGAGGCCAAATTGGTCTACAAAGAGAGCTCCAGGACAGCCATGGCTACCCAGTGAGACCCAGACTCAAAAAATCAAATGCCGGGCATGGTGGCACATGCCCTTTGGTCCTAGCACTCAGTAGGCAGAGGCAGGCAAATCACTGAGTTCAAGGCCAGCCTGGTCAACAAAGTGAATTCCAGGCCAGCTGGGGCTCCAGGGAGACCCTGTCACAAAACAAAACAAAACAAAACAAAACACAAAACAAAACCAAAACAAAAACAATTAAAAAAAGACTAGTTAGCATATGATTCTTAAGTAAAATAAATTTAAGATTAAAAGTACTAATAAGAAATTTTAAAAGAACTCCTTATTCTCTCCTCTGTGACTAAATCCTAAATTTCCTTTATCACAATATAACTATGAAAAGAAGAAAATACTTCTGAGAAAATCATCCTTGCAGGCAGCATATACCAAACATTCTGTTGGTGGGAGAGGGAGGAAATCAGCAGGTAAAAACTTGTACAAAAGCTGCAGCAATGAAGGCATGAGGGATTTAGGACAAAACAAATACTACTACTTGGCAGCCACTTAGTGTCTTTAACTTAAAAACACATCATGAGTTTTCCATATATCATGCACGGGGAAAGTAAGAAAACATTTAGCAAACATTGCTTAAATATTCATTATAGTTCAAGTCCTCTAGTAGAACAGTTAGTCCCTCTGGTTAACCTTGGTCAATCTTTAAGCTAGCTGCCACCATTGAAAACAAACTGCTCTGATCCACATAGAGACTTCCAATGGGAAAGCAAGCTGATGGCAATACCATGCCTTTCCAGGTACACAGCTTGCTCTCTCAATCCTCTCCTGGGTGCCACAATGATCAGACTGCTAACTACAGGCTATCAAAGGTACCTCCCTGCCAGGAAAGGACTGACTCCCAGTGTCAGTATCATTCAAAGACAAGCATCCTTGCTAGATGTGGTCTCTACCCAGCCTACCTGTCCAAAGTGAGCAGGGTAGCCCAGCATGTGCATATACAGTAATTTTGCCACATTCCGACACCGGTATGTGTTGTCTTCTTCTCTAAATGATGACCGGATTGCAGCACATTCTTTCTGGATCATTTCTCGTTCTTCAGCTTGAGTTCGGGCTGTCCGGATGGTCCGGATCAGCTCCCGCAATCTGATGGGGGCTGGCATCCTCTGGATAGGGAAAAACATTAAGTAGAGATGTTTATATAGTTTGTTTCCAAAACCATTCATACAACTTCACATATAAAATATTGGCTTTTTTTTTTTTTTAAGAATTCAAAACTTGCTACATCCAGCTTAGCTTAAAGCTTGCTAAGCTTCAGCTAAAATGTATTACATGTAAACCCCTTCAACGAAGTAAATGTCTACAACGACTACAAACACAGGTGTTAACTATTAAATCAAGCAACCTAAGACACAGAAACATCAATGTTTGCCAGGTGTGATAATTCATGTTTGTAATCAATTTGGGAAGCAGGGGGAAAATTGCTCTGAGTTCAAATTTAGCCTGGGCTATAGATCAAGACCTTGACTCAAAAAGGAAAATAGAGGGAAAAGGAGAGGGAGGGAATACTGACATCCAAATATCTCAGGAACTAATTCAAATCTTAACACAAATCTTTACTCAATCCTTAAGCATAAGAAAAAGTCTATACCTAACTTTAGGATAAAAAGATATGTATATTCTATTCAACTACTTTTAAATCCAACACAGCTCAATAAAGTGTCAAATGAACCACTCACAGTTCAACTCAACAAAATATTAGAAATTAGAAGGAATCAACCGTCAGATTGCTGTCCAACAGCCATCATCTTAGTGCACGGATTTATTTTTAAAATAGAATGAAAGGACTGGAGATATAGCTCAGTTGGCAGAGTCTTTGCCTAGGATTCACAAACCCCAGCACATTGGGAAGTAGAGGCAAGAAGTTCAAGTTTAAGGTCATCCTCTGCTACAAAGGAAGTTCAAAATGAGCCTGGCTATATGAAATCCTATCTCAAAAACAATTTTTTTTTTTCGGTCTTTTTGAGACAGGGTCTCCCTGTAGCCGCAGCTGGCCTGGAACTCAAGAGTTTGGCCTGCCTCCCAAGTGCTAGGATTAACGGCGTGCACCACCACGCCTAGCTAAAAACAAATTTTTTTAATTTAAAAAAAAGTAGCATAAAGACAAAATAATAAAGCAACCTCAGAGAAGAACACTATTTAATGTCATGACTAGTTTAAAAATAAATAACCTAGCCAGGCATGGTGGTGCAGGTCTTTAATTCCAGCACTCCAAAGGCAGCAGCAGTCGGATCTCTGTGAGTTTGAGGCCAGCCTGGTTTACACATAGCAAGTTCTAGGCCAGCTGGGGCTACAGGGAGATCCACTCTCAAAAAGACCAAAAAATAATAAAATAAATAAACAAACAAACAAACAAACAAACAACTTGCCAGGTATGGTGGTGCACAACTTTAGTCCCAGCACTCAGGAGGCAGAAGCAGGTGGATCTCTGTCAGTTCAAGGCCAGTCTGGTCTACATATCAAGTTCCAGGTCAAATGGAACTACAGGGAGACCCTGTCTCAAAAAGACCATGAAAAGAGAGAGAGAGAGAGAGAGAGAGAGAGAGAGAGAGAGAGAGAGAGAGAGAGACACACACACAAACGGGAGAGACAGAGAGAGACAGAGAGAGAGAGAGAGAGAGAAAACAAATCTGTAACAGCCAATACATCATGGAAAAAGAATGAAATTTTGCACTGTTCAATTTCAATAATTATTAAAAAGTTATAGCAACCAAAACACTATAGAACTGAACATAAGGGAGACTTAGAGAATGACAGAACAAACTATAAAGTTTAAGAATAGACGCCCACAATTAATGTTCCATTGTTTTCAATCAAATGGCCAAAATCATTCAATAGAAGAAAGGGAACTCATTAATAAACAGTGCTGGCACACGAGAATTTCTATTTGAAAGGAATAAATTAATCTAAACCAGAAAGATGGCACATTGGGTAAAGACACCTACTGCCAAGCCTGACGACCTGAGTTCAATCCCCAGGACTCACATGGTGGAATGAGAGAACCAACTCACACAAGTTCTTTGAGCTCCACTCACATGCCATAGGCAGATGGGTACCCAGAGAGAGAGAGACAGAGAGACAGGAGAGAAGAGAAAGACAGAGACAGAGACAGAGAGACAGGCAGAGGCACAATAAATTTTAAAATGTAATAAAGTTTTTTACTATTAACTCTAATCTCACACAATACATAAAAATCAACTCAAGCTGGGCGTGATGGCGCACACCTTTAATCCCAGCCCTCAGGAGGCAGAGGCAGGCAGATCTCTGTGAGTTCCAGGCCATCTGGGGCTACAGAGAGACCCTGTCTCAAAAAGACAAAAAAAAACACTCAAAATGATGACAGACCTCATAATCCTAGCTAGAACTAAAAAACATCCAGGAGAAAACCTTTCAGACTTACAAGTGATTTGGTGACTAAAGTATAAAAATTCTAAACTTTTACTCTTCAAAAGACAACATTACCCAGGCATGGTGGCACATGCCTTTGATCCCAACACTCAAGAGAGAGACAAGAGCATGCCTGTGAGTTCAAAGCCAGCTGGAGCTACATGACATAGTAAGACCTTGTATCCAAAAAAGAGGGCCAAGGAAGCACAAAAACAAGACAAGGGGGAGGCTTCCATTCAGAATATACAAATTTTATAACTCAGTAACAAGGTAATTTTATTTTTAAATGGGTAAAAGATGTGAAAGGATACTTCTCAAAAAAGATACAAAGGGACTGGGGATGTGGCTCAGTTAGTAGAATGCTTGCCTAAGACACACAAAGCCCTGGGTTCAATCTCTAGGACCACATGGAACTAGGTATAGTGTTGTATGCCTATAGTCCCAGCACTTCAGAGGTAAAGGTAGAAAGATCAGAATTTCAAAGTCATCCTCAACTACGTAACAGATTCCAGGCCAGCTGGACAACATTAAAAAAATGTTTAATGTATCAAAATTAATTAAAACACACACACAAAAAAAAATACAGATAGCCATAAGCACATGAAAAGATAATAAATGTCATTAGTTAACAAGAAAATGCTAGTTAAATCATACTACAACTAATAGAATGGTTAAAAGTAAAGACTAACCATATTAGGCAACAACAATCAAATAAAACACCACAACTGGCAGAGACTGCTCTACAGGAATAAAAATGGTCCAACTACTTTGGGAAACAATTTGATAGTTTCATAATACGAAGCGAAACTACACTTAGCATATGATTCAGAAAAGCTATCCAGCCTGATGCAGCAGCTCACTCCGGTAATTTCAGCATTTGAGAAGTAGAGGCAGGAAGACCAATTCAAGGTCATTACTGGCTATACAATGAGTTGGGAGGGAAGGATGTGGGAAAAGGTGAGGGGGAAGGATGGGGGGGTGAGAAAGGAAAAGGAAAAATATCTATTTAGTATTTATCCAAAAGAGGTAAGTAACCATAAGAAATGAAAAATCCAAGTCCTCCCCAAGACTTGCACATGAATATTCATAAAAGCTTCATCCAGAATTTCAAAAAACTACAAACAACCCAAACATCTATAAAGATGAATGGATAATGGTATATCTATATAATGGAATTTTAGATTAAAACAGAACCAACAAGCAATTTAAAAAATTAAGTTGAGCAAAATAAGCAGGCACAAGACAGTACACAGCGCATGACTTCACTCATATGAAACCTAGAGAGACTGATGTATTATGATCAGGTGAGGAGTGACTACCTCACTTGAGGGAAGGGATGGACACTGGAAATCTGTGGTCACAGGGCAGGTATACATACTTCTCAAAACTCACTGAATTTCATGTTTAAGTAGGTACATTTTACTGTACAACAATGTTACGAAAAATGCCAGTTGTGGTGGCACACACCTTTAATCCCAGCACTCTGGAGGCAGAAGCAGGTAGATTTCTGTGAGAGCGAGGCCACTTGAACTCCACAGTGAGTTCCAGGCCAACTGTGGCTACAGGAAGACCCTGCCTCAAAAAGACAAAAAAAAAAAAAAAATTGAGATGAAGAAATTGCAACATTTTTCAGAAGAAGATATGTCTTCAGTACATTATTGGCCACAGAATTCCTAAATCAGTGATTTGAAGTATTATTCTAACCAATACATCAAGCAGATACCCCACTCCTATCAGCTCCCCATGGCATTAGTCCTCAAGGTGGGTATAATGCACTGGAAATACTGAAAAGTTCTCTAGATATTCCTATGCTCCTATAAGAGGAGCCAAGCCGCACTCATCCTCTGAAGACTATAATTCAACCTGTATATTACTGCTTCTGTCATTTAATAAAAAAAAAAAACTGAAGGGTCTAGAATTTGAAGTTTAGAAAATACTTTTACATTCATCATCTCTTCTGTTCCTTTACTGTCATTTCCTTTTTGGGATAGGGCTTTCTGTCATCCAGGCTGGCCTCAAACTCATGACATACTCAACTTCTGATCCTCCTGCCTCTATCTCCCAAGTATTCCACAATGCTCAGCTTATGAGGTGCTGGGAATCAAGCCAGGGCTTTGTGCATGCTATGCAAGCTCTCTACCAGGTGAGCTACAACCCCAGCCCTCCTTAGAACTCTTTGAAATTTAAAGTAGAAATCATTGTCCCCATTTTGCTTATGAAGAAACTATGCCATTTGTCTAAGATCACAGAGGTAACAGGTGACAGAGGTAGCTCCCGAACCAGGTCTTAAATCTCCAATGTCTAAGTTCCCCAACACTTCAAAATGAACATCACACTTACAGTTGGAATAACAGCAATTGCTAGGATTTGTTTTAAAGTTTTTCGGGGGAGAGGTACTGGGAAGATAAAAGGAAAAAAAAAAAAAAAAAGAAAGAAAGAAAGAAAGAGAAAGAAAGAAAG